CCCCCCCCTGACTTTAAAGCTGGATCCGCCCCTGAAATCGAGGCTCAGACACCGACGTCAGTTTTTGTCTATATGGTATATGGTATAGAAATGGCAGTTTCCATTTACAAGCGTCCAATTTGGCCCACCCTGTACAAATTAATCATTATTTTTTATTTCATATTATCATCTCTGGTTAAACTCGGTTATTTTATTCTAATTAAGTTATTTAAATATTTTGTTCAAAAGGCGATTTTTTTTTCATAAGTACCTTAGAAAACTACTTAAAAAATCGAAAAACACAAATTTAGGGACATTAATTATTAAATTACCTACCGTTTTATTTTTAAATATACCGTTTTGTTCCTATCTCTTCGACAGCTTTCAAAGTTCTTGGTCTGGCAACGCTGATGATCACAGCAAACCACAGATCACAGAGATGTTCTGTGGTCAAGACAAGTACCAAACTTTTAAACCAAGACAGTAAACAATGTAGTTTGTCCCTCGTCTTTATCTATGGTTTGTCCTTACAGCCGTTAAGCATTGATTTCAGTGTTTTTACTCGTAAAGTAGTTATTTTATGCGGCCTCGACAATCATTAATTGCTGCTGGCTGGCACTCAAGATAATGGCAACTGATGATAGCATTTCATATGTTGTTAACTTCTTAAAAAACCATGAATACCCTTTACTCAACTCTATACCATTGGAGGAGGTCTTTGCTGCTGCCAATGTGAGCTTTCTGGTGTCTTGGGCGTTCTGTTTGTGGCACAAAGACCGTTTTGAAGCGATGTTAGACAACCGTGAAGAGGACAAAGCTTTTATCGCAGAATTAATTCACTGTTATGGTTTCTGCAGTGATGTGGAAGAGGCGCAACAGTTTCTGAGTGCAGAACAAACACCAGAAGAACAGGTAAAATCAGGCTCTAGTCTGTGTGGTTAACAATGTGCTCACCGTATGAAAAGTTCGCTCAACAAATTTTCTTAATGGTGGTTTTTGGAAAATTGCGTTTTTTTACCACTTCACTCACTGTAATAGGATCCATGATGCTCCCGCTCTCTGTCAAACAGTTATTATGCCAAAGTAGTAAATTTAAATGTGGTGGAAACAAGGGCGAATCCAGTGGGGGGTCATGGGGGTCATGACCCCCCAACGATGCCAAAACGAATTATTTGGCTCGAATAGTTCTTGAGGAACTTCGAAAAAAGCAGCGTCATGTTCAAGTGGATTTTGCAACTCAAAGAAAACCACGCAAATCTAAAT